TTTTTTTAATCCCCTTCCTCCCCCTTTCTTCATATTCCCAGTTGACCTCTTTGGGTCTCTCTCTTGTTTGATGTTTGTGTTGGGTTGTTTGGGTAGAAGAGGTTTGCTGACCGGAGTGATGTGTGTGTACACAAGGATATGAAATTGAAACGACATCCAAGGGACGACGCAATGGTGTGTATTCCATCCCTCGGCCGCCAAAACCAGAAACAACATTTGCTTACCCGTCCGATTGTCTCATGCCAGACCAATCATACTAGCAATGAGACGACACTGCCATCCAAGACCAACAGGCCAAACAAACGACCAATAATTACTGACGAGCGCTCTGTCAATGAACGGGCCAATAAACAAGCCAAGACAGCCGAGAGAGATCCGAGCTATGTGCCTGAGGAAGACGGCGAGGGTTCGCAATTTTCGGAGGGCGAAGATATTGCTCATGATAGCTCGGTATATCACCCCTCGTCTAGTCAAGATCGGATAGAGAAATTGCTAACAAACATGCAGTTGAGCACCGTGCATGGTCGAACGAGAAGTTCGGCGAACTCCTTGGCAAAGATTAGGGCTCAAAACGTCGCGATACGGCCGATATCTCACAATCCCAGGAATACCACGAGCTTACAGACAGGTGCTTCAGATAAGGCAGCTTCAGAGTCCCCTACCCGGGCTAGACCAACTAGGGGCCCTGAGAGGATTCTAGGCTCTGTTCACAATAGCAATCCTGTGTCGACCACTACAGCAATGCAAAGTATCAGCCGGCCCAAAGCCAATCCTAGCAATCCCCCTTCTAAAGCTTCGCAGCCGGGAAGGGTCACTACGCAAATAGAAAGCCTGGATCCGAGCACGACACACGACCTATTCTCCAGCCTGGTGAAATCTATTGCTGATCATAGAAAATCGTATGAATTGCTGCCAAAATTCCCTGAGAGGCAAGGGAGTGAGCTCATTACGTGGAGTCTTCTCGGCATGATCTCTGATGCTCTTTCTTATCCATCAGCTCAGCTACGTAATGAAAAGCAAACACGAGAGCTTCAGGAATTTAGGTCCGTGGTCGACACACAGGAACAGGGCCGAAAATCCCTGGAGGCAGAGCTATCGAAAGCCAGGGGCGAGATAGCTGAATTAAAACAACAACTCAAGTCAACTCAATCTCAGGGTTGCAAAGAATGCCGCCGACTGCAAGAGCGAAATACGGCTCTGGAAGAGAAGCTCAGCCTTTTTAAGCGCGTGAGTAGGCAACTTCTCTCCGGCTCAGAAGAGAAACAGCCCCCTCCCGGCTCGTCGACGCCTACCATAGCGATATCTGGTTGACAGGAAGCTGAAGCAGCTGTTGTTAACCTATTTTAGTTTAGGTGTACTGTGTGGTCACTGTATTGTTTGAGTGCTCTGTTTGATCGCTTTATAGTGAAGGATGTGTGTGCGAATGGCAACCCTGACTTACCACATATTTGCAAATGACATACCGTAGATACATATATAACACAAACAATTCCATCATAACAAAGCTCTTAGCAGTTCCAGAGCATGGCAAGACCGGATAGAAGGTAAAAGGTTTTGGATGGCAGTAACTTTTGCACTATCATTACCAAAGTATGTAATAAGATGAAAGGAGGGTCTTGCAGTTCCCACGCGTGCCGCAATTAGTGACGAGATAACTAGTGCTCCTCGAGCTCCTCCTCCTCACCATACTCTCCAATCTCCTCCTCATCATCGATAGAGGCTTCCTGGTATTGCTGGTATTCCGACACCAAGTCATTCATGTTGCTTTCCGCTTCCGTAAACTCCATCTCGTCCATACCCTCGCTGGTGTACCAGTGCAAGAATGCCTTGCGACGGAACATGCTAGTGAACTGGTTGCCGATACGCTGGAACAGCTCCTGGATGGATGTCGAATTACCAATAAAGGTTGAAGCCATCTTCAGGCCCCTAGGAGGCACGGAGCAGACCGTGGTTTGAATATTGTTCGGGATCCATTCAACGAAGTAGCCGCTGTTCTTAGTCTGGACGCCACGCATTTGATCTTCGACCTCCTTCGTCGAGACTTTTCCACGGCTGAATCCCAGTTAGTCTTTGCAATCATCACCTGTGGGGGAGACCTACAAGATCGCGGAGCAAGTCAAAAAGCGGCCGTTGTGGAAATTAGCCGCAGCCATCATGTTTCTGGGATCGAACATCTGTTGGGTTAATTCAGGTACGGAGACTGCGCGGAATGAATGGGCTCCTCGGCTGGTCAGTGGTGCAAAGCCCACCATGAAGAAATGAAGCCGGGGGAAGGGCACCATGTTCACAGCCAGTTTTCGCAGGTCCGAATTAAGTTGACCAGGGAATCGAAGACTGACGGTAACACCAGACATGACTGCCGAGACCAGGTGGTTAAGGTCGCCATAGGAAGGAGAAGACAGTTTTAGGGTGCGGTGGCAGATGTCGTAGAGGGCCTACGTTGATTAGAACACATCGTCACTTATAGAAGTAATGATCTCGCACCTCGTTATCGATGCAAAACGTCTCATCGGAATGCTCCACCAGTTGATGAACAGATAATGTGGCGTTGTACGGCTCCACCACCGTATCCGAGACCTTCGGCGAAGGCGCCACAGAGAATGTAGCCATCATGCGATCCGGGAATTCCTCACGGATCTTCGAAATCAAAAGAGTTCCCATACCGGAACCAGTACCACCTCCAAGGGAGTGCGTGATCTGGAAGCCTTGCAGACAGTCGCAGCTTTCGGCTTCACGACGAACCACATCCACAACAGAGTCAACCAACTCAGCACCTTCGGTATAGTGACCCTTTGCCCAGTTATTTCCCGCGCTTGACTGGCCGAATACAAAGTTGTCCGGTCGGAAAAGCTGTCCAAACGGACCAGCACGGACGGCGTCCATCGTGCCGGGCTCCAAGTCCACGAGGACCGCGCGGGGAACATATTTCTGGTTGCCGACCTAGTGGATTGGTGAGCGGCAGCAGTACACACGATTTAGAGAAGCTTAGCAACCTCATTGAAATAGACATTCATCCGCTCCAGTTCTTGGTCGTTCGAACCAGTGTACCTGAGAATCAATTAGGAGAAAGTTCGTCACGTCATAGCCCATGTTACTCACACTCCAGACGCGTCGAGGCCATGTTCGCCGGAGATTATTTGCCTAAACAACGTCAATATGCGTTCCATCAAGGACACCCTGCCTGTTAAGCATGTGAAAAGGATAGATCAACAGTGGACTTACCAGAAGGCGGTACCAACTTGGTTACCCTAAAGGAAAGAGCACAATGACTCAGTTATCTTCTATGATATACCGCAAGTGGTTTACTTACACACTGGCCAGTTTGGAGGTGCACCTTGAGAGAGTTAGCATTGTCATGTTCACGTTGGAGATGGAGCGGCGGGGGAAGAGTGGGGAAAAGATGAGCTCCGTGACTGCCCCAAACAAACTTACGATTTCACGCATTGTGGAGAAGGATGAAGTATCGTAATACAAGAAGGTATTAGAGGGTAAGAAAAAGGGATTGTAAAGGAGAAGATGGGATTGAGATACGAGAGACGGGGGTAGAGGTGATGTTGGGCAACGAAGAAGAAGCGGGAGGATTTATTTGGGAGAAGAAAAACAAAAAGGTTAGGGAAACCGTGATCCGTCAGTCAGGTGTCCGTCAGGCGACATTTAGGATTGTGTTGCAGTTTTTATGTAAAGTCGTAAGTAAGCAGTGCATTTGGTGCTAACGGCATTTTGACACCTTCTTTTCGAGCGAATTTGTCTGGGCCTATGGATTCTTTCGATTCATCCAGCCTTTGGCCCAAAGTACACTAGTCCCAACTTTGCTTCTTGTCCGTGTTTTTTTCTTCTTTTTTTTTTTTTTTTTTTTTTTGGAGTTGACTACCTCTGTCTGGTCATGTCATCTCTATCATATGTCTTATGACTGTATACCCATCTATAAATATCGAATTTTTTCCTTTTTTTTTTTTTCCGCCTTTCTTTTCCTCTCCATTTTCAATAATCAATAATATTGGCAACTCAACAGTTCAATTCTGTTTGAAATTGGACCTAAAGATGACAGGAGCAAACAATAACAGAGTAAATTCAATTCGATGTTGATCCGCGGGTACCCGCAAGAAAATATAATATATAGCCATTATTTTCAAATTCACTCCGGATAATGTACAGAACGACAACGACGAATGTATACGTATGTTGCTCACCGCTCCAATTCTCCCCCCTTTCTTCTTATTTGGGATCGCCCTTTTGAAAGAGTTCGACCGGAGTCGGATACGGATACGGACCTGGGATGTAGCAAGTTAGGCACCTTGCGGGTCAGACAATAAAATACCTGAAAGACCTGAACCCTAGTCGACAATCGATACCTGCGCTAACCCATCGTGGCTTAAAGCTCACCACCCCCAAGACTGCAAGCAATCGTCGCTTAGAAATGAGAATTCTCTGTAATTAGAGAGACCGACATGCTTTCTTACAGCTTGGATTACTTCATAAACTAGGAGCATGTTCGAGCTTGGAAGGGATGCTTCGAGCAATGATCTCAATACAGATGCCAAAGTATCATCACAGATGAATCCATGGCCGACGCTGTTTTGTCAAATCCTCTGGTAGATACATGGGCACATGCTACATTAGCCATGCTTCATCATGAGTACCATGCATGTATCCCTACAATTATGTTCTTGATTCAACAGCAATGTCAATCCTATATTTCATTTAGGACCGTATGCAGACGAGCTATCTTTCAGTAGCTTTAAACGAATAGTATCAAATGAAGCTTTTTCCACCTGCCGAGACATTCATTCTCCCGGCCCCAGCCAGTATATCTACCGTGGAAACATTGAAACGTGCCGCCGTAGTGGACAATTCTTTGTATCCAGTGCTAAGGTCATCCAAACTAGAGGGAATGATCCCACGCCGTACCACACTATACGCGGTGATCGCTATGATTTCTGTGGAACTAGTTCCTACATCGGATGGAAGAGCTGATCCACTGTGACCTCAATGTATCTTCACATGGAAAATGCGCCATTAATGTTGCGTGAACGAGAGTAAAGACACACTCGCAGCATCAAACCAAAAATATTGGCAAGTATGCCCGAAACCGTTGTCACGTAGGTCTGCTGGCTGGCCAGACAACAGAGATAGAAAAACCAACTGGATGCATGCGACAATAATGGCTCTGGTTAAGTGTTAAATATTGAAAAGTTCCCATACTAAGAGCAGGTGTTTTGAGACCAAGCTTCCATACGGTTGATGAGGGTCTTCTTTGGACTAGGTCAGACCTCAGCTCATTAAGCTGAAAGTCCGTCCGATTTTGAAGGGCCAAATATTTGGACAGAGTATAGGCTCGCCATGAGGAGTATATTAACCATATATGGATGTTGACATCAAGGACAAAAAGACTATGCATGAAGAGTAAGGGACGAAATATGAGAGAAGGGGAAAAAAAGAATTGAGGCACACCCGATTTGAACGGATAACCTTTCGATCTGGAGTCGAACGCGCTACCGTTGCGCCAGCGCCCCAACAAGTTGGGGTTTTCTAACTTCTTAAAATTTATTAATCAAACAAAAGAAAAGACGATATGCTTCCACAATCTCATGTTTTTTTTTGAACATAGGTTTCTGACTAGCTTCTCGCTCGAGCTCTATCCCGTAGACTTAATAATTCCCGTATAGGGTACCCGAAAGTATTTTCAATCCAATTTAGGCACACTACTAAGCTTTCCTGTGGCCTTTCAGATAGCGTCCGTTGGGGTTGTACTAGATCGTATTATGGGAATATATAACAAAGGATGGACTACATTTTACTACGTTCGCTGCACTCGTCTTGAGAAGGAATGGCCATGTGGATCGGCATCTTATCACTAAGAAGCTTGCCTTGGTGAAAATCAAAGATCAAGAAACCAGTCTACAGACCCCTCTCAACAGCATCAGCCATGTCTCCAAGTGTATCAAACTTCCAATCATAAACCGTATCCTCCAAGTTCCCCATTAAAGCCCCTGGCCTCTCAATCCAAGAAGACTTAAGCCCCATCTTCTTCGCAGGATGATGATCATGGAATTGGCTCTGCGCCGTCTGAAGCACCTGTTCCGCCTCGACCCCAAACTGTTCCTTAACAGCCTTAAGCATATACTCAAAATTAGCCAGTTCAGGCTTATACGATCCCACATCTTGCGCTGTGATAATCAAATCAAAAGGAAAACCCTGCAAGCTACCAGCATTGGTCTTCTGGAACGACTCCCGGTCCACATTTGAAAGCACGACCAGCTTGTAGTGCTTCGACAGACGCCTCAGCGCCTCCACGGTATCCGGGAATGCAGGCCACTGGCCGACTGATTCGCCGAATTGGTTGCTTTCTTCTGCGGTGGGCGGGTTAAGGCCCAGGCGGGATGCGAGTTGCGGGTGGATTGTGGAGAGAAGTTGTGAGTAGGGCATGTCTGGGGTTTTGGTTTGTTGGGCTTTCTCGAGCTCGTGGTAGAGCCTGAGGTAGCTTTCTCGTGCTACTTGCGCGATGTTTGCGGTTAGGGTTGGTTGGATTGCGTTCCAGACGCCAGTTTCCCAGTCGATTAGGGTACCGTAGACGTCGAAGGAGAGGAGGCGGTAGTTGGTGAGTTTGGACATGGCAGTTTGTCTTGGGGTTTTTAATTTGGAAGAATGATAAAATGATATTAGTTGTTGGATGACTTCGTGTTGTCCCTCTCGTGGTGATGGTTTATATGTCTGACATGTGTATAGTCTTTGGCCCGGGTGCAGTTACCCGGACGGGATTCACTGTGGGGAGCCATTGTCTCAACTCCCGGCTCGGGTGTTGGTTCTTATCAAATTATTGTGTATCAAACAGCTAGCCGCTGTCTCTTTATTCGAAGATGACTTGTATCATGGGTCACTGAAAGCAGACTCCCCGTCCGGTTAAGGAGAAGGACTCGGAAAGCTGTCAGGGTCGATGCTTCAGATAAAAGCCGACTACACAAGCCCGCTTTCTATGTAGATTCAGTCTGGGCGAGCAAAACATTCACTCTACACATATTTGTGTATCTCCAAGTCTCAAAATGGCGGTCATTTCTGAACCATCCTTACCTTCTATGCAGACGACAGTTCCCGGTCCGTTAACCAATGCTACTAAGTCGGAACTGGATGTCATTTTCGATGCCCGAACCACGCAGATGGTTATTGACTATGACAAAAGCTCTGGAAACTAGTAGGTTTGCTTCTTGATACTCAGCTACATGAACAGTTGTGACTTACGCCCCCCTAGTTTAGTCGACATAGATGGTAACACCTATCTCGATGTGTACGCTCAGATTGCCTCAATCCCCGTGGGATACAACAACCCCACTCTGGTGAAAGCCGCACAATCACCGGCGATGATTTCAGCCCTGGTTAATCGTCCAGCCATTGGCAACTTCCCCTCTCAGAAGTGGCTCAATCTGTTACGCGATGGCCTTATGCGCGCAGCTCCACCCGGATGCACCCAGGTTTTCACAGCACAGTCGGGATCTGAGGCCAACGAGCTAGCCTTCAAGGCCGCATTCATGGCCTATTGCCGGAAGCAAAGAGGAGATGCACCCTGGTCCGAGCATGAGCAGGATTCTGCCATGAGGAACCAAGTGCCCGGATCCCCTGATCTGGCTATCCTCAGCTTCAAGAACTCTTTCCACGGCCGTGGATTCGCTAGTCTGTCTGCTACTCGCTCCAAGCCAGTACACAAGATTGATATTCCGTCCTTCAAGTGGCCCCAGGCCTCTTTTCCTGAACTGAAATATCCTCTGGAAGAACACGAAGAGGAGAATCGTCGCGAAGAGGAGCGTTGTCTGCAGGAGATTGAGCACATCATTGATTCGTGGCACTGCCCTGTGGCTGGGATCATCGTTGAGCCGATTCAGAGTGAAGGTGGTGATAACCATGCCTCGCCGAAGTTTTTCCAGGGTTTGCAGGCTATTACAAAGGCTCGTGGAACTTACCTGATTGTTGACGAGGTCCAGACAGGCTTCGGTGGTACGGGCAAATTCTGGGGCCATGAGCATTGGAACCTTTCCGCCCCCGCTGATATCGTGACTTTCTCTAAGAAGGCACAGACTGCGGGCTACTTCTTCAGTGACAACTCTCTTCGTCCTGATAAAGCTTACCGGCAATTTAACACGTAAGACTGAGTCCGGCTCCATAGTGTTTGGACGAGACAACTGACTGATGGATCTCTTAGGTGGATGGGCGACGCTGCACGTGTTATCATGTGTAATGCAGTAATTGACGAGATACTCAGCGAAAATCTAGTAGAAAAGACAGTAGGTTTTATCTTACTTAGCTTTACGTCGTGCTCTGACATTTCTAGGCTCGCGTGGGTGAACTTCTTCACGAGAGACTTGCTACTCTGGCCACGAGATATCCTGAGTTCATACAGAACCTTCGCGGCAAGGGCAAGGGAACTTATCTTGCTTTTGACACCCCCGACTCAAGTACCTTGCTAAAGGAAATGCGTAATCTCGAGATTAACATTGGAAGCTGCGGCGTATCAACTATTCGACTGCGTCCGATGCTTATCTTCAGGGAGGCGCATATCTCTACGTTGATAGAGGCGTTTGAGAAGGCTTTCACGAAGCTGGGAAGGTTATAAGCTTATATGAACATACACATATAGCATTCTGAGAGGCTCTTAGCTTGGGGTACTGTGTCCCACAGATTTAGTTATGATATATCTTTCTCTGCCAATGCCATATTATGCATAGCTCGGGAAATGTAAGCATGGTTCGTATGGCACTGTTCGCTAAGTTCTGTAGACTGTTGACTAGTTGTCCGTCATTCAGACTTTGTCGGCTTTCTCGAATATAGAAGATTTTTATAGGAGGTTGATGGATCATGACAGATATGCGCATGATCTGTGATCATAAACCTAATGCCTAGAACTGGGCTCAACCACATTTCTACTTCGAGCAACTTGGTGAACACTCAATTCGAGTATGGCCGGCATATTCAATGGTGGTCTGATGCCATCTGCGCTTCTTGGTGCAAAGATCTAAACAATCCTCCTACTATAATATCCTAAGTTAATTCTAGTCAATTATTATTTATCCATACTTCAGCTAAAATCAAGAATATTGTGGGGTGTCTTAAGGTATAAGCCGACAAGTATCTACGCTCTAGAAATGAGGATAGCTTAACTTAGTTTTGAATATGATCGTTATTTCTAAATAAGTTTAGCAACCTGTTGGGGCGCTGGCGCAACGGTAGCGCGTTCGACTCCAGATCGAAAGGTTATCCGTTCAAATCGGGTGTGCCTCAATTCTTTTTTGTTTTTTGTTTTTGTTTTTTTTTTTTTTTTTT